TTTTTCTAGGCTGGACGGGGTCGAGGCGGGACGGCTTATGACAGCCGCAGCCGGGGTCCTCGCACAGTCAACACGGTTCTTGCTCCTGAGACTGCGATGCGGCCGGCGGCCTGACAGGCGCAGCTCAGGCCAACGAGGGTTCGGGCCCTTACAACAGCTGCTGGCAGGCCAGCCGGTGGCATAGTGGTTAAGGCCTGGACTCCCTCATGGCCGATCACGGTCTGAGTCCTGAACCCGGCGGCTGGAAACTCATGCTGGGCACGTGTGCGTGCGTGTCCAAAATCCTGAGAAGAGAATGGAGGAGGAGGGACTGCAGTGCTGCCATCTCCTGGGAGGTGATTTCGCTTTCTGTCTCTCTGTCTCCCCAGCGAGCTCACGTGCCCTGTGGCAAAAATCTCAAAAAAATATATATATATCTATAAATAACTGGTTGCTGGCACAGTATTCAGCCAGGCTCACAGCGCTGAGTGGGCGACCCGCTGTGTGACAGGGGAGGGAGGGCGGGCTGCACAGTCGCAAACCTGGCCCTGCCGCTTAACACCGTCCAGATGTCAACAAGCATGTGGGCTCTCGGACCCTCCCGCCCATCTCCCCAGAGCGGCCGGGAGAGCTGTGGCTGGCCGTACCTCCAGGGCTGCTCTGGGGCCCAGGGGCAAGGCCACGCGGAGACCCCCACACAGCTGCACAGAGGCGGGCGCCCCCCCTCCCCGTCCTGGAGCAGGGCCCCACCCTGCTGAGGGCCAGGCCCCTGCCTCACTGGCTGCGCTTCCACCCCAGACTTTCCAAGAGTTCGAGATCGAGCAGCACCAGGAATGCGCCTACGACCGCGTGGAGCTGTTCGATGGCCCTGACAGCCAGGCCCCCAGCCTCGGCCGCTTCTGCGGCAGCACAAAGCCAGACCCCACGGTGGCCTCGGGCAGTAGCCTGTTTCTCAGGTTTTATTCGGATGCCTCGGTGCAGAGGAGGGGCTTCCAGGCGGTGCACAGCACAGGTATGTGGGCCTGCCGGGCACCGGGGCCGTGGCAGGGGTGGGACTGCCCTTTATTCTGGTGACAGGGAGAGCGCCGGGCAGGGCGGCCTGTGGGGGAAGGTCCCGTTACCAAACACCTTAGCAGCCCTGGGGGGGGTGATGGACAGTTTGAGGTGGGCGGGCCTTTGGCGAGGCCCCATTTCCTTCCTTCCTCTAAGCAATGTGCCTGGCATGCCAGCCAGTGGTGTGGAGGCTAAGGAGGTGGGGCCCGCGTGACAACCGTGTGATCTGAGTCCCGGATCTGGGGACTTGAAAAACACACGGGGGGGGGGGGGCAGTGGTGTGGCAGGTGGCATGGCGTGTAAGGGCACTGGACTCCCACATGGCCTACTGCAGTTCAAGTCCCAGACTTGGCGGCTTGCTTCCTCACGTTCCCTCTCTCTGTGGTCAAATTAGAATGCATACATACATACATACATAATAAAGTTAAATAATTCTTTTAAGAGAATCACACACTGGGACATTAGTGCCATTAGTGCATGTGTGCCCCAAATCCCAAGAGGAGCCTGGGGGAGAAGGACTGTGGCCTGGCCATCCCCACCCCTCTGGGGGTGCTTTCTCTTGTCTCTCTCTCTCGCTCCCCAGCAAGCAGACTTGCTCATATCAATTTTTTTAAAAAGCACATATTTGTCACTTTGTCGGTCTGTGAAATCCCAAAGTGTGGGAGCTGAGTGGAGAGGAGGCCCTTTTACCCTGCAAGAACTGGTTCCAGAAGATGAGACTTTTTTGTTTCCATCATTTGTCTTTCTATGCCCAAGGAGTATTGCTCTTTCAGAGGAACATACCTGCTTATAACAACCTACGTGGTCTCCTTTGTCGGCGTCAGTAAGAAAATGGGCTCTGCTCTTTAGCCATTAGTGTTACCACCTGGCAGCACCAGCAGGTGGCATGGTGGTTAAAGCTCTGAATTCCCACGTAGCCAACCTTGGTTCGAGCCCCAGACCCACGTGACTTAAAAATCACTCTGGTGAGTGTGCGTGCGTGCCCAATATTCCGAGAGGAGAACGGAGTACAAGGGATTGTGTTGTGGCCACCCCCTGGGGGGTGATTTCTCGCTTTCCCTTTCTTTGTCTCTCCCGCAAGCACATGCCCCCTGTGGCAAAAATCTAAAAAAAGAAACAAAGGAGAGAGAGTGTTACCAGCCGGGACTAGAACCCATGGAAACAGGACTCCGATCCTGCCTGCCTGGCAATGGGGAGCGAGGCTGGGCTCTCTGGCCTCTCTCTGTTCCCTCCCTCTGCTCCCCACAGCTCAACCCAGCCCGGGCAGAGGGCCGAAGGCAGGGGGCCACTGGTGTAGGTGGGAGATGGGGAGGGACTGAGTGGGAGCGGAGGAAGGCGGCCTGTCCCCGTGCCCACTGCCCTGCCACCCGCTTCTCAGGACCTGGGAGACTTAGGAACAGGACCCCGCAGAAGCCACCTCGGGTGAGCGCCGCACCTCTGGGGCTGTGGAGGAATCTACCTGCAGAATCTCTGGACTTCCTCATCTGGTCTCACCCTGCCCCATTTTTAAGTTGTTTTTCCCACAGGGCACATGTGCTCACCAAAGAGAGACAGAGAGACAGTGAGAGGGAAGTGAGAAATCACTGCTGGGGAGATGGCCATGCTGCAGACCCTTCTCCTCCATGCTCCTCTTGGGATTTGGGGCATGCATGCACACATGCCCGGTGTGAGTTTCAAGCTCCGTCTGGGACTTGAACCACGGTCGACCATATGGTACTCCAGTGCCTTAACCACCACACCACCTGCTGGTCCGTCATTTCTCATTTTATTTATGTGGACACGAGTGGGCTACCCATAAGTATAGGACCCAGACCAACCAGAGTCATCCTAATAAACCCGGGAGGCCAGCTCAGTGGTACTGTGGCACCAGGCTGCTCGAGTGATGCGGGTTCAGACCCCCAGTCAACCTGTACACACCTGGGCACTGCCCACGATCCTGGCCGGCTGGGAAGGTGAGGGTCTCGGTGTGGTACCCGGCTGAGGGTCCGTGTCTTTCTGTCTTTCACGCTCATGACATAATGAATACACTTTGAAAGAAAATTGAAAACCAGACAACACCAGAAGCTAAGGCCACGTGAGGCAAGCCAGAGTCTGAGTGCAGCCCGCCTGTGGCACCTGCAGTGGCCTCCGGGCTGGCCTGCATCTGCCCTCAAACTGGAGCGGTAGCCAGGAGGTTGGGCTCCTGGGTGGGCGGGCGCCTGCATTCCCGGCCTGCTCTCCTTGTCCTCTGTCAGCAGAAATGACAGTTATGGTCAGTCAGCGGGGCTGCCGGGAGCCCTCTCAGAAGTTTCTAGCACTTCCAGGGAGAGGACGCTGACGTGGCAGCCACACCCCAGTGAGCGGTCAGGAGAGCACCCGTGGCCGGTGTCTCAGAATGCGAGAGAGTGGCCGGCTATTTTCAGTAGCACGCTCGGTCTCCAGGGGCCCCCTGTGGCCCAGCTCAGGAACTGGGGATCTTGGCTTATGGGGCTCACGTGACCCCCAGGAGCTCTGGCTTCCGAGCCACCGGCCTCTGCTTGCTCCTCTGTAGGAGGGCTGATGAGGGCCAGCCTCTCCAGCGACACAGGCACCAGGCTCTGTGGGGGAGCCCCGGGGAGGTGGGATGGCGCTCTCTGTGCCGAGGGGGCATCTCCGGTCTCTCTCTGCTCCAGAGTGCGGGGGCAGGCTGAAGGCTGCAGTGCAGACCCGAGAGCTCTATTCCCACGCCCAGTTTGGGGACAACAACTACCCGAGCCAGGCCCGCTGCGACTGGGTGATCGTGGCAGAGGACGGCTACGGCGTGGAGCTGGTATTCCAGACCTTTGAGGTCGAGGAGGAGGCCGACTGTGGCTACGACTACATGGAGGCCTACGACGGCTACGACAGCTCGGCGCCCAGGCTCGGCCGCTTCTGCGGCTCCGGGGTGAGTCCAGGGCCGCTGGGCCAGGGCCAGTGCACAGTTCTTGGAGCCCGAGTCTAGTCAGACTCGCTGGGAAACTGTCCAAGCTGCCCGTGCCACCTACCAGCGAGCGGTGGCCCTAGGCAGGTTCTGCTGGAGCGGTGGGGAATGGGAGACGCCTCCCCGAGGTGGGCGCGTGGGGCCACGGCCTTCCCTCACCCCTGACTCCGCCACGGCAGGGGGCTTCTCCCTTTTGGACTTTGCCCTGTTATTGCAAAGCCTCTCCCCCAGCCCCCAAATCTATTTGGCCTTCAGGCTTTGCTATGATGCAATTATGCTTCTGTATATTCCCTGAATTCACAGTTTTCTCCCCAAGCAAAAGCTAATACCGTGAAAATGACAAGAGTGTGTCTCTTACTAGAAACGCACACTTTATGTTCTAGGTCCCTGTGGATTTTCTCCCTGTCACCTCTTCCTGGACCACCTTCCCAGCACAGGGCAGGCCCGTTCACTGTTTCCCCAGAGCCCGACGCAGGGCCTGGCACAGATCTGGTGCTCGGTGGGCCAGTGTAGCCAGCCAGCACGGAGCCCGTCCCTCCTTGGCGGTGCCCCATGGCCTCCAGCCCTCCCCTTCTCTCTGTCCCTGGGCTGATCGCTCAAGCCTCTTTGCTATTGGCTGAGGCCTCTTTGCTATTGGCTGAGCTAATGCCAATCATTTTGGAGCCATTAGTGCTCCTTGTGCTAAAGAGAAATTCAACCAGGCATTTCTGTCCCTCTGAGTAATTTCCCTTCACCCTCCAGAAAAGAATGACAGAGTGGGACTTAACCATTGCACTGCCCCGGATAAAGTCTTCCAAACTGGGAGGCCCACCTGGAGGGGAAGCCTTGGGGCTTCTGCGCAAGGCCCTGTGGGAAGCCCAGTCTGGCCCCTCCAGGAACCTGCTCCCACCTGGCGCGTGGAGCTGCTCTGTCCCCCTTCATGTCCTCAGACAGTAACAGGCCTGAACAGTGGCCTTCGATCCTGTCTCCTGGGAGAGGGAGACACAGTGTCGTCCAGCAGGGAGGCTTGTAGCTCTTGCTTCCCAGTCAGAAATTCTGAGCTTGGGTCCGGCCCAAGCCTGTGTCTTCGTTAGTCAAGCACCACACGGAGAGCGTAGCTGCCTCAGAATGAACGTGGTAAAGCACGCATGCACCAAGGACTTAGTGCAGTGCCCAGCCCGCCTAGCTATACTGTGCACTTAATAAATAGAGTCGTGCACTTAATAAAACAGAGTCCACATGAGCAATGCAGCAGGATCGTGTTGGAGAAGCAGAGCCCAGGGAGCTCCCTGGAGCAGATTTTGCAACGCGTGCCTTTGAAAAGGAGCTTGGTTTTGCTGCCCTTCAGAGTCTCTGGTACCAGGGACACGTCATGGCAGCACCTACCCTGTATCCTGGTGTAGGGTTCAGTCCCACCCCCATTCTAAAGCCCAGTCATAGCCAACAGCATAGCATCCACTGGGTTTTCCTTCTTTCCTCAGCCATTAGAAGAAATCTACTCTGCAGGGGATTCCCTGATGATCCGATTCCACACAGACGACACCATCAACAAGAAAGGCTTCCACGCGCGGTACACCAGCACCAAGTTCCAAGACGCCTTACACATGAAGAAATAAGGCCGCCGGCCCGCGAAGACAGGCACGAGAATGTTTTCACAGTCGTAGCACCTTGAGAATCAGTCCTAAAACAGTGTACAGTGTTTTTCTTGAACGAAAACTCAAAATCCAGCCTTGGAGGTAAACATTTGGATGAAGGTACACCTAAGTTTGGCGAATGAGGAGGAAGGAAGACGTTCCTGGGATTCCCGCTGCAGTGTTACCAGTCCTGGGCTTCTCGAGACGATGACATCGTTGCCACGCAGGCTCATCCGTGTCCGTCCTCCAGGGGGCAGGAGGCCAGCCTGGGCCTGGTCATCTCTACCCTGGAGGAACTCCCATGGGTGCCAGGCAGTGTGTGCTCCCTGGAGACCCCGCGGTCTCCCAGCTACACCGTGCAGTGAGGATAAAAGCGTGGCAGTGGCTGGTTTGTTACTTACAACTTTGGCTGGAATCGCTGCTTTCTCCCTGCCAGGGACATGTCAGCTAGGAGACCTGAGAATATGGACGTCAAGATTTAAAAAGTTGTTGCCGTGAGCAGTGCCCAGAGGGGGCTCTGAGTGTAAGGATCGGTCATGAAGTCAGGAGGCCTCAAGCCTTTTCACTACGACATTAGACTCCTGAAAGAGGTTTCCTCCCATCCCTCGTGACATCTGTGTGGACTCGAACTCACCTACTGTGGATTCCAGCAGAATCTTGCTGGTGGGAGCCCCCGTGTTCCAGCCTGGCCTGGTAGTCCTCACCCTCTCATTTTGGGAAGACTCCACTTTGTGTTTGCAACTCCATGGGCTTCAGAGAACGTTTCTTCCTCTGGCTTCGGAGGTGTGTGCTGTTGTTAACCCTGACCCCTCGACAACCTAATCAAACTGCTTTTGCGAGATGTGCAAAGACGTCTGGTGAGGGACTGAGCCAGACCCCTCCTGGGATGAACGCTGCTGAAGACTGGTTAGTTCTAAGTTATGTAAGAGTCATCAGCTCGTGGAGCAAGTCGGTCTATGACTACTTCCTGTGACCCGGCTCAAGAGCTCAGCAGTAACTGCTCAGAGAGACTGGTCTTCGATGGCTGACTTGCAGTCAGAAGTCACCCCACTTGGCACTTGTTCTAGAGAAGTATAGAGGATGATGTTTACATAATGTTAGCACCTCAAGGTCTAACTTAAACAGAGGTAGTTTTGAATGGCATTTCATTAAGGCATCTATGGGCATTATGAGCTAAAAGCTGTGGTATGTTAGCTTTAAAAAAGTATTTATATGGAGCCAGCAGGTAGCGTAGCAGTTAAAGCGCTGGACTCCCACATGGCTGATCGTGGTTCTAGTCCCGGATCCGGCAGCTTGAAAATCACGCCGGGTGCGTGTGCGTGTGTGTTCCAAACCCTGAGAGGACAATAGAGAAAGGGACCGTAGCATGGCCATCCCCCCAGGGGTGAGTTCTCACTTTTCCTCTCTCTGTCTCTCTTTGGTGAGCTCACGTGCCATAAGGCAAAAACCTAAAAATTAAAAAAAAAAGAAAGTATTTATGTTGGAATAATTTTAAAATAATGTTTACATAGCCGTGAGCCCTGTTGGTTGGTGTGGAACGCAGGGCAGCACACAGGAGTGTTTTTATTTCGAGCCAAGATAGCTCCCAAGCTCCAGACTTCCTTTGGAACGAAGCAACACATCACTGTAGACAAAGTATCTAACAAAGGTAAAGGACATATTTTTTAAGGTTCAGAATAGGCCATCAGAGGACTGTGTCTAATGAAAAGGATTGCTGGGAGTATAAACTAGAATTCTACAAAGGAAGATAAATGCATGGGAATATTTTTTTCCTTAAAACAGAAAAGAAAAGTATTATCCTGAGTAATAATATATACCTGTACCTATACGTCTGTGTGTGAAGGGTCAGTCGTTAACGCCTTAATCAATGCAGTGTGGAAAACGCATCTCACTGGCCATAGCTTTACTGAACGGCCCCTGCTATCAGCCGATGTGGTCCGCCTCTCCTTTCCCCCAGCCCTGTTTGGGCCTTTCTTGGCCGTGGGCTGAGGTTCAGCCTCTGCTCCCGTGCTGTGGTGCGCGGCTCGCTGCCCCGGGGAGCTCCGCGCCAGCAAACGCAAGGCTCGCCGGCAGCATTCCCTGCTTGTTGGATCCAGTAGATTCCGTTCTCTGGCTTGGGTATTTCCAAGGTTTTATTTTGTCTCATTTTGTCTGTTAATGTTGAAACTGAAATCACAACCCATAACTGACAGTTAAAAAGTCTTTCTCCAGGGCCAGCAGGTGGCGTGGTGCTTAAGGCTGAACTCCTGTATGGCCAACCACGGTTTGAGTCCCAGACCTGGGAGCTTGGAAATCACCCAGGCTGCATGTGCGTGCCCCGAATCCTGAGAGGAGAATGGAGTAGAAGGGACTGCCGTGTGGCCATCCCCTGGGGGGAGATGTCTCACTTTCCCTCTCTCTATCTCTCTGGTAAACGCACTATGGCAAAAGCCGGGGGGGGAGGGGAAGTCTTTCTCCAAGAAAGTGAAAATTCTGTAGTTTCAACTTTTAGAACTCTAAAATAAGATGAACAAATTCCATGGAAAAGTAGGAGGGAGTCGGTCCTGCCTTGGCATTCGCCACCCTTGAGAAACAACGATGCTTCTTTTTGTCTCTTTGGTATGAAGACGTTCAGAAGCGCACAGCTTCAACGATTGTCACCATATGGCCGACTTGCAACAATGGGGCCCTTATGAAAACCATCATTTGGGCCTCTGTGAGTCACATCTTCCCAGAAGAGACAAGCTCTGATTTAGCTGGGGCTGGCTGGGACGCTCTGGGAGCCCACCCTCGTGGAGATTCACATAGGACGGAGGTTCTGCAAAGGCCGCACGGCCAGCTCCTGGAGAAAGCCCATTCGGCAGAAAGATGTAGGCCCCTGTTTGGCTTTTCCAGTCGCTCTGTGATCTGCCTGCAAACAACCTTGGGGGTAACAGAAGTAGCTGGAGGACACGTCCCAGCCCGCTTTGTCCTTAAACTGAGTGCCAAGCCCTGGAACGTCCCAGAGTTCTAAGGAGAGCTTTAGTTCGGAGATTTGTCCTAGGGCAAAGGACCCGATGAGGTATGTGGGGTCTGGGGCTCCAACCTGGTTCTGCTGAAGTGTAATCTGGCCTAATAGAAGCTGTGATGGAACCTGGATTTCAGGGCGAGTTGAGTCTGGAATTAACTTTAGCTCGGAGAACTTCTTAAGCAGTGAGCCTGTGCATTCATTTACGGTTCCCTCTATTTTTTCCTAAAGCTTCCCTGTAATTCCACTTCACTACTTCCCTCTAACATTTAGTATTGCTTACAAACTGCCCAGCCTGTTTAAATAACTCACAAAATCTTGTCAGCTAGCACATTCACACTGGGGTTTCCCATCGACCTGGTGCATTTGATCACACTCAAATCATTGTTGGTTTGGGTAGTGTTCAGTTCTTCTGGCATCAGCCGATGTTTTTAAACATCTGAACCACAATTCCAAATGCCTGAAAGGCTTCTTTCAAAAAGAGAAAGACTGCATAAGATATGTGTATTTTTTTATTTTGCCTAATTTTACATTTTACAAAATGATGTCAGTTTCTGAGAAAGCGGAGAGGCTGTAGCACGTGTCTCTGTAGAGAAAGGTTTCCATTAAAGAATGTGGACTTATTGATCCAGCCTGGGTTTGTGTTACTAGTTCAGACAAGATGGTCCTCTTGGTGAGAATTTTCTCCACCACCACAAGAACTCGGGAAGGGTGTGAAGGGGAGGGCAGAGGCCTGGTGCAGAGCAGTGTTTACCACTGGACCCAGACAGCCACAAGGAAGGCTAAGGTTGGCTTTCAAAGGTGTCTCCTCTCCTGGACCTAAATCAGCTGGAACTATGTTAACGCAATGTGGAGGTGGCACTGCCTCCGTGACAGGTGCAGCCGTGGCGGACACCTGCGTTTGTCCCTCGGCTCCTGTCTCCACCCGTCTCCACGCGGCTGTGTGCCTGAGGCCACCTCTGACATCTGAGGATGAAGGTCATGGCTCCCACAAGACCACCCCGTCCCTCAGGGCCCTGGGAGCCCCTCCTTCCTCATGCTACTTCAGGCCTAGGTGTGGTAGTGACGTCTACTAAACTAGCGAGCCCTGGGCCCTGCACTTCCCTCAAGGGGATCCTTCATAAATGGTCCCCTTAGTTACCCCTCCCCAATATAGAAACTTGAGTTTATCTGTTGTCTGCAGGGCCCTAATACAGGGCCATTGTAACCCAAGGACTGGGACGCCATCTGGTAAAGGACACCGTTGTAGGTTGACTAGATGAAAAGACTTTGAAGCACGCTGGGAGTATTGTGGGTTATATCACGAAAGGGTGATCTAGGACTGTGTTTTGACGAGCCTTCAGGTTAGTCTCAATACAAAATCCCTTAAAGCATGCAACTGTTTTGTGCTCTACAAAGAGTGTCAAAGTTCTGTGAGTTTTCCGCCCTTTTGCAGTCACCAGCACCGTGTGCACACACACACACACATGCACATAGACAGATGGCAGATAGACATCCCCAGCAAGTTTTACCTTCTGTACCGGACAGGTGAGCCCGGTGGTGCAAGGGCGTGCATGCTGGTGTGTCAGTCAGCCTAGGCGAGCTTGTGCTGCCACAGCAAGCGAACCCTGAACCTCAGGGGCTTCACATAGAGATTCATGTCCTGTCCACACTGCGTGTCTGTTTCTGGTTACCTGGAAGCTCTTCCATGTCCTCCTCAGACAGGACTGGGATGGTGGAGAAGCACCACCTGGAACATTGCTGGTTTTTTGGCAGAGGGCAGCATGTACTCACCAGAGAGAGACAGAGAGGAGAGGGACAAACCACACATTGACTCTTAGAACTGCCTGGAAGTGACATCTGACTCCTCCTCCCATTTCATTGGCCAGAGCAAGGCACACGGCTATCCTGAACTTCCCGTCAAGGACAGGGTGAACTAGAACTATTTAGCAGAAGCTGTAATGACTCTCCCATGTGACATTTATAGATAGAAATGTCCAGGGTGTTTCTGTTTGTTTTAACCTTTTGCTTCTTCTCCACTTCGTTACTAACATTTTAGATACAGAGTTTTAAAAGTCAGAATAAGGCAATTGCAATGGCATGTGTGCTTCTTCCCAATTCATATGAAATGAAATCCTTGCTCCCGATGTGATGGTATTAGGAGGTGGGACCTTTGGGAAGTGATTAGGTCAGGAGGGCAGATCCTCCATGCCCTTATAAATGAGGTCCCAAAGAACTCACCCCTCTGCCATGCAATGACATAGCAAAAAGGTGGCTGTCTATGAACTAGAGAGTGGGCCTTTGCCTCACGCAGAATCTGCCGGTGACTTGTTCTTGGATGCACATCTCTAGAACTGTGAGAAATAAATTTCTGTTGTTCATCCACCCAGTCAATACAATTCTGTTATCAGCCTGACCAGACGAAGACATCCACCGATCTCTCAGCATAATTCAGCTGTTTAAGCTGCCCCGTTTGTTGTTGCCTGACAAACCATCACTGTGATTGGTCTTGAATAAACTTAAATGCTGGCAAAATATAAATGATTGGAAGATCATCTTGGAGATGGTGACTCCAGTCTCTTACTTGCTAAGAGTATTCTTTCTACGGTTTCTAAGGAAATGACTCTCGGACCTTCTCCTGATTCTCCTTCCCAGGGGAGGGGAGCCCGCCCGCTTCACTTATTCCCCCTTCTTCAGGTAACAGTGCCAAGTTCCCTCTGCAGTACCGCCCCTTATCATACTGGAGGGATCTGCAGTGGGGTCAGCGAGGTGGGGTGTCCTGCTGTGCGCAGAAACCAAGCCAGAGCAATCAGATCCTCTTTGCCGCACTGATCAGAGGGGAAAGGGAGGGGCTGAGCCAGCCCGAGGGGACTGACCAGGGTTCCCTGCCATTGAGGCCTGGGGAGCAGCCTCATGCTGTCTGCCCAGATCCTGCTTCCCTCTCTTTCTGCAAGCTCCACCACACCCAACCAAAAGATTCCCCTCTTTCTTAAATGACTCAGAGTCCCATTTTGACTTGAGACTATTGAACCACGACTGGTACAGACACTCGTCCTAGCGCTCCACTTGGTGGAAGGTGTCAGCAATTCGACTGAAGAGATGGCACATCCATCAGAGGGAGAGCTGGGGCTCCTGGGTGCAGGCCAGTCTAGCCCCTCTGTTGGGTTGGGGAGAAGTCGTGACGTATTTTTCTATGCAAAAAATGCGTCATGACTTTTCTGATATGCCAAGACCAGAAACTGGTGTTCTTTGGTTCAGGTCTCTGGTCCAGGTTGAGTGTGGGCCCATCAACAAAGTTAAAGCATAATTTGTACCAGTTGTGATGTAAATAGTCCAGCCGTTGTAAACCATATCACACACACACCCCCTTTATAGAGTGTGAGACTGAGGCTGGAAAAGGTGACTTCACTTGCCCCAAACACACAGCTCCCTGCAGGGCGGCCGTGGCGTTCCCCACAGGTCTCTGACCTGCCTCGTCTCCATGACTCACAGTACCAGCGGATGAGGTGTAGGTCGTCACTGTGGAGCTTTGGCAACCGGAAGCCCCACAGGGCAGCAGCCATGTTGGTCTGGCTCGGGTTAGCATCTCTGTGCCTGGCAGGCTGCAGGCGGCCAACCAGAACCATCCAACAGCTGATGCAGGCAGGGGTCCCCGCCCTGGTTGCTCATTAGCATCACCTGGGTTGTCCCTGCCCCACTCAGGGTGTGTGTGGGGAGGAGCCTAGCTTCTCAGATGCTCCCCACCCCACCCCTGGTGATTCAGGCGTGCAGCCAGGATGGGAAATTCTCCTGATTAAAGGCAGCTTTGTCTCCTTCACTGGGTTGCATTGAACTGCTCTCGTCAAGGTCCGGCAGCCCCCATGCTCGGAATCAGATGGCTGCTCTGAACTTTTGAGACTGCCTCTGAGCCACTGAACACCTCACCCCCTTGTAGCATTCCTTTTCTGTGACCCCAAATCGCCCTGATTTGGGGACCAGCCTCCCCTGGTCTACTGGGCCCCTCCATGTCCGTGAGCCCCGTCTTGGTCCTGCCTTCTGCAGGGACCTGCTCCTGTTCACCGTGCTTTGAAGCCAGCTGCAGGCTGACCCCCTTATCCAGGTGGCATCCCCACTTGGCTAGCCCATAGGCGACTCGAGTTTCAGGTGTAAGGACGCAGCTTGGATCCCTGCACCCAGTGCTGCGTCTCCGGGATCACCCACCCAAGCAGCGGTGTGTCCATCTCCCCTGGCAGTCATGCCCAGGAGCTGGCTTCACTCTGCCCTTTCCCTCACCTTCATTCCCTCCCCTGGCCCATTTTCCTCCATCGTCGAGTCTCAGTGCCTCACCCTCCACCGTAAGTCACATGCCTCCCCCGCTGTCCACTTCCATGGCTGCCTGGCAGTGTCCTCTCGCTTGGGCTCTGCTGACCAGTCACCTGCCCTCCACTTGCCCTGAGATGCCACTCCACAGAGGAGCCAGGGCCCTTCAGTGTCAGTTAGACAGTTACCCGTCACTTAGAACCCCCACAGGGCTTCTCTCCCACTGCCCACATGTGGGACTTGCACCAAACCCTGCCCTTCTCACAGGGTCTGGCCTCACGCTCATGCTCTTAACCCTCTGTGACCCCAAATCGCCCTGACTTGGGGACCAGCCTCCCCTGGTCTACTGGGCCCCTCCATGTCCGTGAGCCCCGTCTTGGTCCTGCCTTCTGCAGGGACCTGCTCCTGTTCACCGTGCTTTGAAGCCAGCTGCAGGCTGACCCCCTTATCCAGGTGGCATCCCCACTTGGCTAGCCCATAGGCGACTCGAGTTTCAGGTGTAAGGACGCAGCTTGGATCCCTGCACCCAGTGCTGCGTCTCCGGGATCACCCACCCAAGCAGCGGTGTGTCCATCTCCCCTGGCAGTCATGCCCAGGAGCTGGCTTCACTCTGCCCTTTCCCTCACCTTCATTCCCTCCCCTGGCCCATTTTCCTCCATCGTCGAGTCTCAGTGCCTCACCCTCCACCGTAAGTCACATGCCTCCCCCGCTGTCCACTTCCATGGCTGCCTGGCAGTGTCCTCTCGCTTGGGCTCTGCTGACCAGTCACCTGCCCTCCACTTGCCCTGAGATGCCACTCCACAGAGGAGCCAGGGCCCTTCAGTGTCAGTTAGACAGTTACCCGTCACTTAGAACCCCCACAGGGCTTCTCTCCCACTGCCCACATGTGGGACTTGCACCAAACCCTGCCCTTCTCACAGGGTCTGGCCTCACGCTCATGCTCTTAACCCGTCCCTGGTGCCGGCCAGGTGGCTCCAGCGCATTGGCCTGGCTTGGGTTCTGGGAGTGCACAGGCTTGCCGGCAGGGTCTACGGTGCCTTCTGCTCTCCTCGGCGCTCCTGTGCAGTCTTCCCAGAGTGGTGGAAGCGATGGCCTCCCTGTCCCTCCACCGCCCTCTCCCCGCACCCCTGCCTGCTCCTCTCACAGTGCTTTGGTCTGCATGACCCAATTATTGGTTTTATTTTTCTTGTTTTCCTTTTAAATTGCTCAGTTTATTTTATTCATTTCTTCTATAAGAGAGACAGAGACACAGAGAGGACCCCAGTGAGGTCCCCACACCATGACTGACCCCAGTCTCTGCCAGCCCTGGCGCCTGGACACAGGAGCGTGTTTCCGGAGGTCTCTGGACATGACCCTGGAATCTTGCCATGTGGTCAGCCTCGCAAGCGTTGCATTCCCAGTGCACCACCCTTGGGACCCCGTTCACCCCTTCACAAATCAAATGTGTAGCAGAAATCTAAACCCAGACCCAGGGTTTCCTCCAGCTCCAGGAGGTGCCTGCTCAAAACCCAAGAGTAGGAAGGAGCTGAGGCCGAGCTCCGGGCCAGGCCGGCGTGGACCACTGAGTGTATCGTTCACGGCAGCAGCTAAGACCCTGCCTCAGGGGCAGAATAGACTCCAGCACCAACCTCCAGAGCCTCCAGGCTCCCTGTACATGGGTGCTGGTAGCATGTCCACATGGTCAGCTGGGGACGGGGCAGCCAGCCCCAGTCCTGTGTAACCCATTGTTCCCAAGGCGCTGCCGGCTGCAGACGCCCTGAGCTTCCAGGCCCACTGTGGCTTCTCTGCGGAGATGGAGGTGGAGCCAAGAAAGTGGCCTGAAAAACAAAGACAGAAAATGAAGGCACAGGGGTGGATGAGTGGGCCATACCCAGGGCCACAGAGCAGGGCCCATCTTTCTCGAGGGCTGGGCTGTGGACTCGGTTACTCCCCTGACCATAAATGGCTCGGCCAGGGCTCTCTGGGGGCCTCCTCTCACCCTGCCTCCTGGGCTCTCCCAGCTGGTGTCCCTGTGAATGGAGGACACAAGCCAATAACACCAACGAGAGCGGAGCTCGCCAGGGCGTGACTGGAGAAGGTCCTGGAGAGGCTGTCAGAAATGGTGAGTGAGCCGCATCGCTTATCAGCCTAACCTTCATTTCTGTCTCTAAACACGTGGGACCTCTTGCTCGCCGGTCCTAGCCCAGTCAAACGTACCTGTGGCCTGAGCGCAATGAAGTCAGCCCTTCAGGGTTTCGTGTGTGTGATTTTTTCCGATATGCAAAATACTAACCGTTTTGTAAAATTCTCATCTAATATTTGTTAATGTCATCTTCTATTTTGATATTAAGGTTTCGTTTTGAAGCCTCACACCCAGCAAGGGTGCACAGTAGATGTTTCAAGGGCACTCATGTCCTGGTCGGAGCCATGGGTCTGCGGGGTGCTTTCACCTGCGTTGGTTTAGTCTGCCTTCTGCTGCACTATCAGCAGCAGGGATGTTCAGAACGCTCCGAAAGCTTCCTGCCTTTCTTAATATGTGAGACATGCTTGGTTGTGACTTGATCGAATGAGGCTAGCTCAGTGAGGAAAGGAAATAGAGGAGACTTCTATGATTCTTGAATAGAAGATTATGGGGACAACCTAGGTGTTCAGCAGCCGATAAATGGTAAAGAAATTGTGATATATATGCAGTGGAATATTATTCAGCCTTAAGAAAGGAAAACATCCTGACATTTGCCACAGCATGGACTCTGCTGGAGGACATTATGTGTGTATATACACCACACACACACACACACACACACACACACACAGGCACACACACACACAAGTACACACAATGCTGCATAATCTCACTTATATGTAAAATCTTTTTTAAAAAAAAAAGATTATTAAAGGGAATTGAGGGGCCAACAGGTGGTGTGGTGGTTAAGGTGCTAGATTCCCACATGGTCAACAGTGGTTCGAGCCCCAGATTGGGGGGCTTGCTTTCTCTCTCTCACTTTCTCTAGCTGGTGAGCACATATGCCCTACAGCACATTAACATAATAATAAATAAAAGTGAAATAAAATACATTTTTAAAAAAAGGAGTTCAATTCAGGCTTTGGAGGTGGGCAGATCTGACCTAGCCTGATGTCTACCACTTACAAGCCGGTAACCTTCAGAAAGCTATTCCAGCCTTCACACTGATGAGGTCGATACCAGCCCTCTCCTGGGCCGCGTGAGTATAGTGTTTGACACGCAGCACGCCCTCCCTAACAGCAAGGTATTATGCCGCCTCCCTCCTCCCCCTCGTAAACAGCACTCATACTAGGGACACTCGGCCACTGCGGTCCCAAAGTGGCTTCAGCGCTGTCCTGTGGACATTACACGGTGCTCAGAGCAGCAAAAGCAAAGAGCGCGTCGCATGGACTCTGTGCTGAGGCCGGGGGCTTCGTGTTGCGAGTCTCCTGTGGGGGCTTCCCAGGGCCTTCCCGATGCCTGGCTCTATGCGGCCGGGCCATGGAGGACGCAGTCTACGCGACCCCTCTCGCACCGGGAGTACCCCTTGGAAGGAGCTGCACAGGCAAGCTTTCCCTTGAGCTTATCGTGAGACGTGAGCAGGGCGAGTGAGTGGAATCCTGCTTTGAGGATGGAAAAACCGAGCCCAGCAGAGTAGATTTGTTGTAAGGAAATGCAGACCGGAGAGTCTGAGTGTCTTCTCCAAGACTTCACAGCTGCTAAGTGGCTGTGTGTGGACGTGAATCCGAATCAGGGCTGCCTCCCCCACCATCTGTGGGTCTACAGGGCACCACGCAGGTTCTCCTCCTCCCCGATTTACGTGATGTTTTTCCTCTGTGAGAACACTGTACTGTGCTTCTACAAAACGCCCATGTGTTTCTAAGATGGGCCAAAAGCCTCGTCATCAAACGTTGATAAACAACTCACGCAATGGCCCACTTGTCGTTGCTCGCCCTACTCTGCCATCCCCCCAAAGGACGCTTTGTCTACGCCTGTGACATCAGTGCCGGGTGCTCGCTGATGAGGCAAGGCTCTGGGCAGCTGCGTCCAGTGCAGGGGCACCGAGTGTCCTCACGGCCCCTGTCTGCTCGGCTCGTGTCGCATGGAAGGCCGCGAGCAGGCCCTTTGAGCTAGAGGACCCTGGCCCAGGAAGCCCAGAGGTCTCTGTCGCTCAAACATTGTCTCAGAAAAAGAGGTGCCTCCTTCTCTGAGCCTGGGGGCTCCAATTTGTCATAGAAACTGTAGGCGTTGTTTGAACGCCTTGTGGGGCGGGGGAAGGAAGCTGTCAGCAGAAGACCCAGGCTCTGGCGACAGCTAACTCTTGTGGGGATTTGGGAACCCCATGCAAGTCTCGAGCCACGGTTTCCTTCTCTATGAAACAAGGGCACCCTGCTATGGGGGGGCGGCTGAGCCGTCGCGCTGAAGCCCGGAGCTGGAGCTGGGCGTAGCCGTCTTAACTGAAGGACGCCATCTGTGGGGTCGGAGCTGGGAGGAAGTATGCACTGTAGGTGTTCAAAACACCTGGTTATGAAAGACTTTCTCGCTCACTCCCCCACCCGAATTCCAAACCACCTCATTTCTGAAAATAGGCATTTGATCAATTTTGGATGCGCTAGGACTATATCGTCTCTGTCTTCATCTTTCAGGCTGGATTTGAGTCACATGATCAGAGCCCGTTTGACTTGCCCTTTTTTTTTTTTTAAAGAGGCTTTTGCCTTAGGGCATGTTCGTTTGTGGTTTGGGGGTGGGGAGGGGGAGAAACAGACAGTGAGAGGGCAAGTGAAAAATCACCCCCAGGGAGGACGGCCATGCTGCAATCCCTTCTTCTCCATTCTCCTCTTAGAATCTTGGGTGTGGCCGGCATGAGTTCGAGTCTGGGACTCAAACTGCAGGTGGCCACGTGGGAGTCCGGCGACATAACCGCTATGCCATCTGCTGGCCCCCATTTGGCCTGTTTTTAAGAGATGGGCTCTATCTGTTCTTATTTCTCTGTGACGTAATTTCTGATGAGTCTCAGGGCCTCAGTTTCCTCTTCTGTAAGACGAGGTTTTTGAGGTCCATGATCTTTGAGGCTCTTCAGGTCTGGGATGTGATACATTTTCTGGAGCTTTTACTCCTTTACAATATTCCTGTGGTTGGGGGAAAATTCACTTTGAAACAGCCAACGCATCGTTTCTAGAATGACAGAACCTGGTCTCAGGAGGCTTCGGGGAAGGCTGGAAGCAGTAGCCCAGGCTGAGCCCTGGATGCCAGGGAAGCCGGGCCTGAAGGAGGGCCCAGCCAGGTGGCCATTGACCAGGGTGCCTGGGGCCAGAGGGCTGGTGGCCTGGGAAATGGAAAGGAGACCACTTCAGTCCAGGGGCAGGGGCAGGAAGTGTCACTGGTTGAGTCAGGCCTGGGTCCTCCCATCCAGGCAGGGAAGGGACCCAGAAAGAATAGCCCGGGAAGGCTGTCACCCATGAGCCCACACTGGAGTGGCAGGATATGGGGACAGGGAAGACAAAGGGCCGTGGGGCTCTGGGCAGGGTCTGACCCATGCACACGGGCACCTGGGTAGACCATTTGAGCACACAACTGGGTAGACCCGGTTGAGCACACGGTCCTTAAACACCGACTCCTTCTTTGGGTGAGAGGTGAGACCAGGTGTTGAGTGAGGGGAGGGCGGGGACAGGCCAGCACCTCTCTGCTGCTGCCCAGCTCAGTGAGTCACCCAGAACCTCTGCCTCAGACTCAGCCCCAAGGGAAGCCTTGTGTTTCCCAGGTTCACTGTCTGGGGAAGGTGGCTGAGCAAAGGTGTTGTGTTAGACCACGTCCCATTGAGTCACCCAGAACCTCTGCCTCAGACTCAGCCCCAAGGGAAGCCTTGTGTTTCCCAGGTTCACTGTCTCGGGAACGTCCCATGGGCAAGCTCGAAGCAGAAAACACAGAGTACTTCTAAATCAGACAATTCTCTCCCTACGGGGGTTCTGGGAAGAACATTTCCAGCATTTTGCTGAATTTCTAATAACATGTTTGCTGATTTTGTGGATCAGGGCCCCTTGGGCAGTAGCCTCCCTGGTGGGCCCTTCAATCTGGCCCTGCATGGGAACCTGGGGAGAGAAGGGTGGTGAGACCCCCTTGAGGCTCGGGAAGGGACTCGCGACCTCGGGCTCGTCGGCCTCCCTCTTCCTCCAGGAGCCAAGGTGGGGGAAGACGGGCTGGCTGAGACCCAGGATCAGTGATTCTCTTGGAATCCGCAAAGGCCAGTGAGTCTATGGGAGGCTCAGGAGATGGCTAACTGTTCTGGGAGCTTCCATCTGTCCTTCTCTCTTACAGGGCTTCTCACTAAACTTCACACTGCCGGCTAACACGGTAAGTACCGCAGCCCGCTCTCAGACGAGTCGGCAGATTATCCGAGAATTGACGATGGGCCTGTCATGGAAGCCTCGCGGACGGCCATCAGTTATGGTCATTCGAAGGCACTTAGAAATGGCTGACAGGGTGCAGAGACTTTCCTAACAATGAAGTTAGGAAAACCCATTCCGGAAAGGAAAATAGGGGAAACCAAACCCCAAATTGAAAACTTAAATTCCTATTGGCAGAAAACATTGGTCGACCCCTCTCTGTCCTGTTTGATTTGATGACTTTTGTTGTCTTTGTATCGCTGTGTTCTTACTCTGCATGAAATTTTATATCACAAATGTTTTTTACTAGTCTTTATAACCAGAACTGAGGATGGTCATGTAATTTGTTTTGAGTAAATTATTTATTTAACTGATTAATTCTAATTAGAAATAATAATGATGGGATAAGGAATCATTTGTGATAGACATGCACTTAAGATGATTTCTGTAGGACATATTCCAGAAGGAACATGATTGGGCCAACAAAGCTGAACATTTTATGGCTGCTTGATTATGGCGTTTATTAATAGTCATAAGTCAAAATAGGCATTTCCGCTGTCAGTGGTGCATGGTTTTCATCACGGTCGGTCCCTGGGCTTCTGTTCGCCTAGAGACCACGCCAATCGCCAGGGCTGTTTCTGACCCCATGGTGCCTGTGATTCACGAGATGTTTTCCTGGCCCAGACTCTTCGTGGATTTGGCTGCACCCAGATTTTCTGCTAAGTCCGATGGCTGCTCAAAGAGAACGATGGGGCTTACGAAGAAGCAGGTTGCTCAGCTAGTGCCCACCGTAACAGGGCATGGTTCTAGAGAGGAGCAGAACGCACACCCCTTCTGACTGTCCTCGCATCCCTGTCCTGATGCCCCTGGCATGTGCTCCACCCTCCTGGGCGCCTGGCTTCTGAACCTCCCCGCTCACTCTGCCTCCGCGACTCGGCCGTGCTAATCATCTGCAGATGGGTTCCCTGGCCCCTCTCCTCACCCGTCAAAACCTTATCACATGAAATAACAGTGAAATATTACCCAGCAATACAAATAAATGAACTATTGATATGCACAACAAAACAAATAGATCTCGGGACCAGCAGTTAGCATAATGGCTAAGTCGCTGGATTCCCACGTAGTTGACCGCAGTTTTGAGTCCCCGACCCGGTGGCTTAAAACTCACGCCAGGTGCGTGTGCGTGCATGCCCGAGATCCTGAGAGGAGAATGGAGGAGAAGGGATTGCGGCGTGGCCATCCTCCCTGGGGGTGATTTCTCGCTTTCTGTCTCTCTGTCTCTCTCTCTGTCTTTCTGGCAAGCGCACACGCCCTATAGCGAAAACCTCTCCAAAAAAATACAAATAAAACAGCAGCTAGATCTCAGATTTGTTATCCTAAGTGAAGCAGGACAAATTCAAAGACTACGAGCTTCATCGTTCCATTTATGTAACACTTTGGAAAGCGAAATTGTGGGGATAGGGAACATTTCCATGGTTTTCAGGGAGAAGGCATGGCAAAAGGACAGCACAAAAGACGGTGGTTGGAGAAACGGAACATTTCCATGGTTTTCAGGGAGAAGGCACGGCAAAAGGACAGCACAAAAGACGGTGGTTGTTCTGTATCTATTTGTGGTCACAGGTACAGGACTCCATCCGTTTATGAGAGCTAAAGGGGTTGTCTGAGAAATGAGTGTACTTTACTATATGTCAATTAAAAATCAATTTTTTTAGAGGTTTTTGCTATAGGGCACGTGCGCTCGCCAGAAAGACAGAGAAAGACAGAGAGACAGAAAGCGAGAAATCCCCCCCCAGGTGGGATGGCCACGCCGCAATCCCTTCTCCTCCATTCTCCTCTCAGGATCTCGGGCATGCACGCACACGCACCTGGCGTGAGTTTTAAGCCACCGGGTCCGGGACTCAAACTGTATTCAACAACATGGGAGTCTAGTGACATAGCCATTATGCTAACTGCTGGTCCCAGCACTTATTCTTTATTTTTTAAATTAAGCCGTTCTGATTGGGGGTTAAGTGGTATCTCATTGGGTTTTTTTTATTGTTTTTTGTTTGTTTGTTTTGTTTGTTTGTTTGTTTGTTTGTTTTGAGAAGTTTTTGCTATGCACTTGCCAGAAAGACAGACAGAAAGCAAGAAATCACCCCCCGGGGGAGGGCCACACCATAATCCCTTCTCCATTCTCCTCTCTCTGGATCTTGGGCCTAAGTTTAACCACTGGGTCTGGGAAGGAACGGCAGTCAACTACATGGGAGTCCGGCGACATAGCCATTACGCTAACTATTGGCCCGCATTGTGGCTTGATTTGCATCTCCCTTATAAGAGATGTTGAACTTCATATGCCTTTTGGCTATTAGTATGTCTTCCTTGGAGAGTTAGCTGTTCAGCTCATTTGCCCATCTTTTAATTGGGCTGATTTTTTTGTTTGTTTTGCTTTTGTGGTAAGCTCCCTATAAATTCTGGTTAAGGGTCTCTTATCTGAGGCATAATTTGAAGATACATTCTTCCACTCTGAGGGTTGTATCCTCGAGAGTTAGCTGTTCAGCTCATCAGAAACTTTTTAGCCTAATGTAGTCTCACTTGTCTATTTTTGGAACTATTGCCTGTGCTTTGGGGGTCTTCTGTAAGAAGTCTGCCTACTCCGATGTCTGCAAGAGTTTTCCCCAGCAGTTTTATATTTTGAGGTTTTATGTGTAGATCCTTGATCTATTTTAAGTTGATGTTTGTGAGATATAGGGGTCCAGTTTCATTTTTCTGTAGGCAGATACCAGTTTTTCCAGCATCATTTATTGAGGAGATTTTCTTTTCCCCACTGGATTATCTTGTACCCTTTGTCAACAGTTAGCTGTGTGTTTTGGGGTTTATTTCTGGGTTCTCAATTCTATTCCATTGATCTAACTACCTGTTTTTGTGCAAGTACCATGCTATTTGGAGGTCAGGAAGCAAGATGCCTCCTAATTTAATCTTTTGCACAGGATTGTTTTAGTGATATGGGACCTTTAATGATTCCAGACACAGTTTATGATTTTTTTCTATTTCTGTTAAGTAATATTTCTCGTGATTTGATTGGAATTGCATCAAATTTATGAATTAATTTGAGTAGAATCAATTATTTTATTGTACTAATTTTTCCAATCCAGGAACATGGAATGTTTTTCCACTTTTTTGTGTAATATTCAATTTATTTTCTAAGTTTCTCATGGTTTTCCTTGTAGAGGTTTTTCACTTCTTTGATTAGGTTTATTCCTAGGTTATTGTTTTCTTCAATAACTTCTATCTCAGTTTGTTCATATACAAAAATACTATAGATTTCTATATGTTAATTTTGTATCCTGCCACTTTGCTTTATTCATTTAACTCACTTCCAGTTTTTTGTTAAATTTTTCTATGTATATAATCATATAATCTACAAATAGAGATAATTTCACTTCTTTTTTTTCCCTATTCAAATGCCTTTTATTTTATTCTCTTGTCTGATTGCATTGGCTACAACTCCTAGTACTACTTTGAAAAGGAGTGGAGAAAGTAGGTAGCCTTGTCTTGTTCCAGTTTTTAGTGGAAAAGTCAAAAGCAACATTCAGTATGATGTTAGCTATTGGCTTATCATAGATGACTTTTATTATGTTGAGAAATATTCCTTCTATGCCAGTTTTGCTGAGAGTTGTAATCATGAAGGGATGTTGCATTTTATCAAATGCTTTTTCCACATCAATTGATATGATCATAATTTTTTACCTTTTCTTCTGTTAATGTGATGTACTACATTCATTGTTTTGTATATGTTGAACCATCCTTGCATCCCTAGAATAAAGCCTACCTTGTCATGGTACATAATCTTTTTAATGTGTTGTTGGATGTAATTTACTAGTATCTTGCTGAGAACTTTTGCATCTGTATTCATCAGGGCTATTGATCTGTAGTTTTCTTTTTTTTGTTTTCGTTTTTGCTTTGTCCTTGTCTGTTTTGGGAATCAGGATTATGGAGGTTTCATAGAATACATTTAAGAAGGTTCCTTGCTTTGTATCTTTAGAAATAGTTTGAGAAGAACTGCGCTTAGTTTTCTTTTCTAAAGTTTTATAGAATTTGTAGGTGAAGCCATTGGGACCTGGACTTTTCTTCACTGGGAGACTATTTATTACTGATTCAATCTCATTGCTTGTTATTAGTCTATCCAAGCTTTCTATTTTTTCTGATTCAATCATGGTAAGCTATACATGTCCAGAAATTTGTTTATCTCATCTAGGTTTTCTTGTTTGTTGGCATATAATATCTCGTAGTCTTGTCTCATAATATTTTTCACCTCTGTTATGTCTGTTGTAATATTGCCTGTTTTGTTTAATTTATCTGGTTCCTTTCTCTGTTCTTGATTAACCTAGCTAATGGTCTATCAATTTTGTTTATTTTCTCAAAGAACCAACTTTCAGTTTCATTTTTTTCTGTATAGTTCTTTCACTCTATTTTATTTACTTATGCTCTAATGTTATTTTCTTCTGGGTTTTTTGTTTGTTTCTTTTTGTTGTTGCTTTTCCAGTTCTCTGAGATATGTCCTTAGATGTCTATTTGCCACTTATCTGGTTTTTTTATTTTGTTTTATTTTATTTGTTTGTTTGTTTTAAAGTGGACACTAATTACCATGAACTTTCCTTGTATGACTGCTTTTGCTGTATCCCAAAGGTTATAAAAACTCTTCGTTTTGTTTTGTTTGTTTGTTTTTGTGGGCACTGATTTTACTATGAACTTCCTTTGTATGATTGTTTTGCTGTATCCCAAAGGTTACAAAAACTCATTTGGTCATTGCCATTGGTTTCAAAGACTTTTTTTTTTTTCTTTTGAGAGATTTTTGCTATAGGGCACGTGCACTTGTCAGACAGACAGAGAGAGACAGAGAGACAGAAAGCGAGAAATCATCCCCCAGGGGGTATGGCCACGCCACAATCCCTTCTCCTCCATCCTCCTCTCGGGATCTTGGGCACGCACGCACATGCGCCTGGCGTGAGTTTAAGCCGCCATGTCCAGGCCTCAAACTGTAGTCGACTACATGGTAGTCCAGCGACATAGCCATTATGCTAACTGCTGGTCCCTCAATGACTCTTTTGATTTCAGTCTTAATTTCTTAGTGGTCATGAAATCATCCAGAACTAGGTCATTTAGTTTCCATGTGTTTGTGTATTTTCAAGAGTTCTTTCTGTAGTTGATTTCAACTTTGATTCCATTGTGGTCAGAAAAGACACTGGATATAGTTTCTATACATTTGAATTTGTAAAGGCTTGTTTTATGCTCTATCATGTGGTCAATTTTTGAAAATGTTCCAATATGCTCTATCATGTGGTCAGTTTTTGAAAATGTTCCAGGGAAGGAATGTGTATTTTGTGTGGGTGAGAAGAATGTGTATTTTGTAGTTATTGGGTGAAATTTTCAATAGATGTCTGTCAAGTCCATTTGATTTATGGTATCATTTAGATCTTGTATCGCTTGCTTTATTTTTTTCTAGACAATCTTTCCAGAGGAAACAGTGAGGTCTTGAGATTCCCAACAATTGTTATGTTGCAATCTACCTCTCCCTTTAGATCTAACAGTCCCTCTTTCATGAATTTGGGTGCCTCAGTGCTTGGTGCACAGGTATTTATAAGTGTAATATCTTCTTAGTGAATTAGTCCTTTTAATCCTACATAGTGTCTTTCTTTGTCTCTTCCTACAATTTTTATCTTGAAGTCCATTTTATCTGATATCAGTGTTATGACTCCAGACAGTTTTTTTAAAATTTTTTTTCATAGAGTATTTTGCTATAGGGCCCGTGCGCTCGCCAGTCAGACAGAGAGAGACAGAAAGCAAGAAATCCCCCCCCAGGGGGGATGGCCACGCCGCAATCCCTTCTCCTCCATTCTCCTTTCGGGATCTTGGGCACGCACGCACACATGCCCGGTGTGAGTTTAAGCCACCGGGTTCAGCACACAAACCGCGGTCGACTACAAGGGAGTCCAGCGACATAGCCATTACGCTAACTGCTGGTCCCAGTTTTTTGTTTTTTGTTTTTAATTTTTTAAACTTTATTTATTTATTTATATTTTTAGCTTTGACCAGAAAGGGACAGAGTGAGAGAGAGGGAAAGTGAGAAAACAAGCCGCCAGGTTCAGGACTCAAATTGGGTCTACTATGTGGGAGTCTAGTGCCTTTAACCACCACGCCACCTACCAGCCCTGACCCCAGACATTTTTTGATTTCCATTTGCGTGGAATATTTTTTTTTCCAGTTCTTCACTTTCGGTCTATGTATGTGTTTATCAATGAGGTATGTTTTTGGTAAGAAGCATGTGGAGGGCTCCTGTTTTTGTTTTTATTTTGTTTTGTTTTAACCATTCAACGAGTCTGTGTCTTTTTAGTTGGAGAATTAAATCCATTGACATTCAACATTATTATTGATATTTGCGGACTTATCCGTGACATTTTTTTAACCATTTTCTTGGTTGCTTTTTGTCCTCTTGCTTCCGTGTGTGTATCTCTTTAGTTTTCCTGATACAGTAATCCCTTCAGCACTTCCCAAAGAGCTGGTCTCATGCTGGTGAATTCTTTCAGTTTTTGTTTATCTGAGAATGATTTTATCTGTTCTTCTCATTTGAAGGATGTATAGTATACTTGGTAGGTATAGTTTTCTTGGTCAAAACTGGGTTTTCTTTTAATGTTTTAAATATGTTTTCTCATTCTTTCCTTGCCTGCATTGTTCAGTTGAGGTTAATAGGATAATCTTTTTAAGTAACTTGATGTTTCTTGCTATTTTTAGAATCTTGTCTTTATCTTTGATTTTTTTTACCAATCTGGCTATGATATGCCAGGGTGGGAGGGAGATAATCTCCATTTTTTTTTTTTTTAATGTTGATTCTATTTGGAGTTCTTTCTATTTCTTCGGCCTGAATTTCTCCTTGCTTCTCTAGATTTGGGGAGTTTTCAGGTAGCATTTCATGGAAGAGGTTTTTCCATGCCTTTACTAGTTTCTTCACCTTCTGGAATACCTATTTTACAGATATTTGGGCATTTATTGGTGTCTAAATTTCCTGTATATTATTGTCATTTTTTCAGGTTTTTTAAAAATTCTTTTTGGTAGTTTAGTCTATGTTGGAGACTTTGTCTTCCAAGTCAGAAAGCCTTTCTTCTGCATGGTCCAATCTGCTTGCAATGCTTTTCAGAGCGATTTCAATTTCTTGTATTATATTCATTTCCAGGGCTTTTGTTTGAGTCTTTATTAGCCATCAATCTCTTTATGGAATTCTTCCTTCATGTCCTGGAGTGATCTTCTCATTTCCTGGACTTAGTTGTTCTATCTTACATCTCATTAAGTTTTGTCACAATGAATGTTTGAAACTCTTTTTCTGACATTTCTGTGAATTCTTTCATGTTGTTCGTTGTTGATGAGGAGTCACTATGTTCCCTTGGGTGAGTATTTCCTTGTTTCCTCGTGTTCCTTTATGCCTCTGAACAGGTTTTTGGTCATCTGATGCTGTATTCACTTCTTTCTATTTATTGGAGAATATTCAGTAATATTGGCAGAGGGAATATCACCCTTAAATCCCAGGTGTTATCATGCTAGAGGGCTGTGTCTTCAAGATCAAAGCAGGTAAAAGTTATAGGTAGCTTAAACATGTGGAACACTACATGAATTTGTATGCCATCCTTGCACAGGGACCATGCTAATCTTCTCCGTATCATTCCAATTTAGTATATGAGTGGCCAAAGCAAGCACTCAAATCCCTTTTTTGATGAGAACTCTCTTGGAAAGAGGTCTGGGTTTGGAATTTAAACACTCAAGTTCAGGTGAAATTTATGGTTATTGTGGAAAATTGGACAGTTCCATAACTTCTCCGAGCTCTATTTCATTTTTTTTTTTTTGTAAAATAGAGACAATAATTATCAAAAGCCCAAACCCTTGGGATGCCAATGTACTCACTGAGATTGCTGAGAAGATTAAGTAAATGACAGCTCTGACCAGACCTGCAAAGCTTACAGGAATTACAAAAGTTCGTATTTCTGTTGCTCATTTGATCCTACTGACAACCCTAGTGGTAGCTTCTAACATCCCTATTATAGATGAAGAAATGAGGCAGCTTAACTGGTGAGTGGAGAAATGACCTCTCCGTCACAGGCAGCAGGAGCTCACCAGCACCCGTGCCCTCATTCCAGACTACACCACTTGGTGTAGTTTACATGGTCGCTTATGTAGAACTTTCTTCCTTGAGGTTTATTAGTCAAGGTTAAGACTCTTGCATGAAATATCTCAAAATGGATAAAATTTGATCCTCTCCTTAGTGGAGATGTGAATCAGAAACATGGAGTGTATTCATTCAATATGGCTTTATACCCAGTAGCACAGATAATTTTTAACTTCAGCCATGTGCGTTATTACATATTTGAAAACAAGTAAGATTTTTCTAAAATGCATATGAAGGAGTACTAACATCTCTAATCATGAGGGAAATGCAAATCAAAACCACAATGAAGAACCACTTAGCCCCAGTAAGAATGGCTGTGATCAAGAAAACAAAGAATGACAAATGCTGGTGAGCGCGTGATGAGAAGTGAGCCCTTCTACATTACTGACGGGAGTGTAAAGTTGTACAGCTACTTTTAGAAAGTAATACGGATATTTCTCAAAAATCTATAAATAGAACTACCGTACAATCCAGTAATACCACTCCTTGGTATCTACCCAAGGATAGGAAAACATTCAGTCAGAAAGACATCCACATTTTTTAACAGCATTATTCACAATTGCTAAGGAACCCATCTAAGTGCCTAAGGACTGAAGATTGGATTGAAAAAAAATGGCACATTTACATGATGGACTATTACCATAAGAAAGATAGAAGAAACAATGAGAACCTGTGTTTAATACAAAAAGGATGGCTATAGAAGATATAATGCTAAGCAAAGTAAGCCAGACTATGAAAGATAAACACTGCATATCCCCATTCAATTTATACCACATGTCTGCATTCTGTGGCAGAAATGGAAAGATTCAAAGTTACGACAGTGAATACCAACAAAAGTAAATACCAGAGACTGTATGAAGAGGATGGTTAGTAGAGGGTAAGTGAGAGGGTCTCAGGAAAGAAATACTTTTTCTTTTTGAGAGGTTTTTGCTATAGAGCGTGTGCGCTTACCAGACAGACAGAGAGAGACAGAGAGATAGAAAGCGAGAAATCACCCCCCAGAGGGGATGGCCATGCCACAATCCCTTCTCCTCCATTCTCCTCTCAGGATCTTGGGCACGCACGCACATGCGCCCGGCATGAGTTTAAGCCACCGGGTCCGGGACTCGAACCGTGGTCGATTACGTGGGAGTCCAGCAACATAGCCATTACGTCAACTGCTGACCCCAAGGAAAGAAATACTTAATCAACATAAGAATGTAAAGTTCTCCATTGAAAATGACATATATAGTAATATCTTTGATTCGATTATAACTTACTGCATGTGTACTTGAAAAACCATATTGCGTGCTATAGAGATGTAGACCAATTAAATGTAAATAAGAAATCATAACACTAAAAAAAAAACGCCTTGCTTCTACCACTGTTTGTTTCTCTTCTAAAAATAGAGTCAAGCAAATAGGCTCAAGATGTGCTGAGAAAGGTGTGTGGAATAAGGACAAGAGGAAGACATTTGAGTTGTAAAAGGTGTTATGTCAAATCCACAGGCATTATCTGAGTGAATTCTTCCTCTTACTAGCCAGATTCCATTCCAGTTCTTACCTGGAAAGCAATCAAAAGGGTCTTATTTGTTATGCATTTCCCTTATAATAAGAGATGTTGAGCATGTTTTTATACGCTTTTTGGCCATTCTTATGTCTTCCTTGGAGAATTGTTGGATCAGCTAATTTGCCCATCTTTTAATTGGGTTGATTATTATTATTATTATTATTTTTTTTTGCAGGTAAGCTACTTGAGTTCCCTGTATATTCTGGTTATCTGAGATATAGTTTGCAAATATATTTTTCCATTCTAAGGACTATCTCCTCAGTCTAATTATCATTTCTTTTACTGTGTGAAGCTTTTTAGCCTGAAGTAGTCCTACTTGTCTATTTTGGGGATTATTGCTTGTGCTTTAGGGGTCTTATTTAAGAGATTTTTGTCTACTCCAATGTCTCTAAGAGTTTTCCCTGTGTCTTCCACCAGTAGTTTTCTAGTTTGAAGTTTTATGTTTATATCTTTGATTTATTTTGAGTTGATAAATGCAGGCAAGGCTGTGGTAAAAGGGAACCCTCCTACACTGGTGGTGGGGATGTAAATTAGTTCAGCCACTATGGAGAACAATATGGAGGTGCCTCAAAGACCTACAAGTAGAATTGCCATTTGACCAAGTAATTCCACTCCTGGATATCTACCCAAAGGACAGGAAAACACTCAGAAAAACACTTGCACATCCATGTTCATTGCTGCATTATTCACAATTTTGAAATGTCTTAGAAGACATGAAATCAGCCCAGATGTTCAAGAACAGATGAACGGATTGAAAACTGTGACACATATACACTACAGAATACCACTCAGCCCTAAAGAACAATGATATTATGGCGTCTGATATAAAGTGGACAAATACGAAAATTTATTGCTAAGGGAAACAGGCCAGACTACGAAAGACAGGTATTGTATGTACCACTCAATATGCACCGAATGTCTGTACTCTATAGCAGAAACTGAAAGACTGGAAGGTGTAATAGCAGGAAGGGTGAATGAAGATACTAGAAACAGTATAAGGGAGTGGGTAAAGGGGCAGGGAAGAGGGGGTTGGGGGTAAAAAATTTAACAGAAAAATACATGAAAAGTTATCTGTTGATAATAATGTATGTGGTAATAATTTAATGAATATCTACTGTATTTATGCTGGGGAAAACCATTTTGTATACTTTTAAGATGTGCAGTGGTTATAAGAAAAAAATTATTAAAAAAATCAAAACAAAGCAAACAAAAATGGTTCTATCTGGTAGCTGTTGTTAACAGAAAGTTTAATGAAGGGTGAATTTTAGGCATTATAACTTAGTTTATAGCTGTCTATAATCTGTATTCTATAGGTTTTGTATTCTTACAGAGCTGTTCTTTCTTCACATAGACTTCTGCTCCAGTTGTTACGGGCGGGAAAGAAGTAGTAAGTATATCACTTAATTGAGCCTTGGTTTTGTCATTTACAGAATGGGGTTACTAATGCTCCACCCACCAGGTGCATTTGCTTTGACGGTTAGATAAAGCCTGGAAGATGAGCTCTCACCAAGCACAGAACTGCTTAGCAATGATTCTTAGGAACAACTCAGCTCAAAAGTGAGGTAGAGCACGCACCATCACAGGTGGACTTCGCAAAGTGTTCAGCGGGAGAGACCAGATGCAGAAGAGTGCACGAGCTACATTTGCACCTACACGATGCTGGGAAACAGACAAAACTCATCTCTGGTGACAGATTTTAGGATAGCGGTCACACACAGGGCGATTAGAAGGGAGAGTCAGGGGCCTTCTGGGCAGCTGGTAATGAACGTTCAGTTTCTTGATCTGTGTGCTGTTCTCTGGGTGTGAAAAGCCAACAACCTATACGTTTATTAGGTTGTCAGAAAAATCATAACACATTTTTTTGTATAGAAAAACAGAAAAAGTACATCATGACTTTTCTGACAACTCAATGTAATTTGCATACTTTTATTACTCTTCAAAAAACAAAAACAAAACAAAACACTCCTCCCTAAAAAAGTGAAGGAGACTCCAGCATCGTATTTGGGGTCTTCAAAGGATTATATAAGGGGCCAGTGGGTGGCATGGCAGTCGACTCTTACATGGCCAACTGCAGTTCAAGTCCCAGACCTGGTGGCTTGTAAATCACACCAGGCACATGTGCTTGCATGCCCAGGATCCCAAAAGGAGAATAAAAGAGAAAGAATTGTGGCATGGCCATCCCCATAGGGGGGTGATTTCTCATCTTCTCTCTCACTGTCTCTGTCTCTCTCCAGCAAGTGCATGTGCCCTATGGCAGAAATCTTTAAAAAGAAGTTTCATGTAAGATACATATTATAAAGAGTATTTCAAAAAAAATTTTGCACCAAAGTAAACTGTATGAACTTTCTGAAGTCTCCTTGTATAAGAGGTATACTTTTCTAGGGATTCTGCAGATTATTTTCAATATTTGTAGATAATCTGCAAATCTGAAAATTTATGTGACTATTTCATGCCTATTTCTACCCAAATTAAAGCAAAAATGCAAATTTGAAAATTGTCTAAGAAGTATAGTGTAAATAAATTTTAGAAATTTACATAAAAATGGTGAAATTTATGAGCGGTCTTCAAAGACTTCATGGAAAATGTGTATTAAATGAAAAGTATGCATGAATGTCAAAGAATGTTTTCACCCAAATAAACTTGTACTTTAATTCCATTTTCCATGAACTTTTAGGGTCCACACGCGCACACACTCAAGCCACTGAGTCCAGGGCTCAAACCACTCATCCGGCCATGCGGAACCCAACTGCCTTAATTTCTATGTCACTGAAACCGCCACACCATAAAGACCTTCACGCCTGGCTCTCCATGAACTTTTTGAAGTCCCCTGTAATAAGAGCTTTTACTTTTTGCCATAGATGAGTGGAAATGGCATCTGATTCTGGCGTTGAGTTGTTCCCCAACCTTTCCATGTTGAGGCGACACAGGTGGTTCTGTTCCTAGGGATGCCCGCTTACACTGGTCACCCATTTTTCTACTGGATCCTGGCCCTTTCCAATTGCTTTAGACTACATCATTACATTCCACAAGAGCAAGTCATTTGTCATGTTCATTACCTCTTCACTTTGTGTTTGCCGTCTAGTACCCATGCGGGATTTATCTTGTTCTGTTTTCATGCTATTGAATTTTCCCCTTATGCCTGGAGACTCCAGGGCTCCCCTGACGCTGTGCTTTTCTCTCCACGCCAGGACTGTGGGCCTTCTCTTGGAATAGCAGCTGGCATCCCCTCCCTGGTGGCCACGGCGCTGCTGGTGGCTTTGCTATTTATTTTGCTTCACCGAAGACGAAGCAGCGATGAGCCCGCCGAGGTGATTACCAGCATCTCTGGGTCTGGGTGTGCAGGCAGGGATCAGTATTTCAGTGAACTGGCCTTTGAACCAAGGGTGTCAGGATCCAGGACCAGAGTCTATGTCCTGAGGACAAGTTTCTTTTCCTTTTTTTTTTCAAAGAGAGATTTTTACTATAGGGTCCATGAGCTTGGTGAATAGAAAGACAGAAAACAAGAAATCATCCCCCGGGGCGGTGGGGGTGGGGGTGACTATGCCACAGTCCCTTCTCCTCCATTCCCTCCTAGCATCTTGGGCATGCACACACACATACACACTGTGTGTGTAGAGACACCAGGTCAGGGACTCGAACCGTGGTCGGTCATATGGGAGTCCGGCAATATAACTTCTACGCCATCTGCAGGCCCTGATGGTGGAAGTTTCTGTGCCATAACTTCCATCCCAGACTCCACATCACCCCAGGTAGTGTCAAATGGTCATACAGCTCTCAGGTCACTTGAGCAAATCCTGGGACCAAGGGTGGTATTTGGGGTGGCAAAAGTAGCAGTGGAGAGGGACGCTTACCCCCACAGCAAGCCCACATCTGGACAGCGGGGTTGTCTTCGAAAGCTGAGAAGCGCAGGTGGACAAGCTTTCTAGCAGAGGACGGAGATAATGTGAGAAACGGTGGGGGGTAAAGAGGTGTCACGGTCTCTCAGGTGGGGCTGCAGCAGACGTGTGTGGCTCTATTTGTCTTTGGCCTTCTGCATCCAAATGTGTAATTCACAAGAGCGTCTACACCCACTCCTCACCCCAACCCATGCCAAATGCCAGCTTCTCTGGAGACCATGTTCAGAATCCAAAGGTCACCCAGACCAGTGTCCAGTGACTCCATGGCTGCAATACGATTGTGTCCGACGGACTGTGGGTTCTATTCTAGTCTGTCTGTGAGCATCTGTGGTCGTTCCGGCACTGTAAATACGGACAGGGAGTTAGAAAACCGAGGTTCCGGCCCAGCCACAGTGGCGTGTACTGCTAAAATCCTATGCTCTTTAAGCTGGGGCCATGGGGGAGGCTCGAGTCCAATTTCCAGCCTCAACTACAGGCTGACTGTGACAGCCGTGTCTAAAGCAGAGCTGGGCGTGGTGGCACGTGCCTGTGTCCCCAGCTGGGAGTGAGGCAGGAATATCGCAGCACCTATCTGAAGAAAAGGGAACCTAAGTTCTGCTCCTGGCTTTGCCACTTTGGGATTTATATGATCCTGAACAAATAACATTTTCTATGGCTGAATTAGTTCAACTCAAAAAGAGGAGTCATAAAAATTACCCCCTCCCCCATTTTAAGAGGCAGGCAAAGACAGGATGAAATGATTACATGGATGATGAGCACCTTTACAAGCTGTAAAATTTAAACACATGAAGAAGTACTGTAGCTGTTGGTGGTACTATTACTTAAGTAATAGCTTTTCAACCTTTAATGCACCGTGAAATCATCTAGAAGATTAAAAAAAGCCCATCACCCAAACCAATTACCTCAGAATTTCTAAATGATAGAGCTGGTATTGTGCTTTAAAAAATAAACAAACCAAATTTTTATTTATTTATTTAATTGTTTGTTTTTGGGGGGTGTCATAGGATGTACGCAATTGCTTGAGAGGCACACAGAGGGACAGCGAAAGGGAAAGTGAGAAATTACCCCCCAGGGGCTATGGCCATGCCACAATCCCTTCTCTTCCTTTCTCCTCCTGGGAGGTTGTGTACACATGAACACGTGCCCGAGATGATTTTCAAGCTGCCAGGTCCAAGACTCGAACCACACGGTCAGCCACGTGGAATTCAGCACCTTAACCTCCATGTCACCTTCTGGTCGTATTATGGATCATTTTAAATATATGCTAAATTAGAGAGGATAGTAGAATGAATCCAATTATCAACTAATGGCCCATCTTGTTTCATCTCTACTCTCTCCCGCGTCTCTCTACTGAAAACCGTGGATTATTTGTGGAGTAACTCACCATGAATGGCTTGGTTTGGGGAGGGATTATTATCTGTGTGTTTGTTTTGATTCAGTTTTAAAGCTTTCTTTTTTTAAAATTTATTTTATTTTGTTTTAAACTCAATCCCATTTATTCACTGTATATTACTACAGTATACAAAATGAGTTTTAAAGCTTTCTCATGATTCTCATATGCACTTGGCTTCAAGAACCACTGACTTTAATCATGGTTATGATTAAATGCTATGACTCTTCTTTTTCACTTTTTTTTAAAAATCAACTTAGGAAAGTGAGAGACCGTGTGAAATTTCAGAAATCTATGACAATCCCAAGGTATCTGAGGTAAGAATCGTTGGTTATAATATTTATCTATCTTTCATACCATGAACAAGCTATGGGCTTTCAAGCTTTTCATGCACAGAAGGTGTACAGTGTGAAAAGAGATGACCAAGCAAGTTCAGGCACGAAGGACGCTCTTAGTATATTTCTATTTGCCAGATAGAAATTCAAGATTTGTTAATATTAGAAAATTAATTTAATGTAATTGCACTAAAAATTAAAAGATAAAAATCATATAACCATCTCAATGAGAGAAGAAAGTTCAAAACAATTCAACAATCATTTGTCGTATGAACAAATGTTTCAACACATTAAAAATAGAATAGGAACTTCCTCAACTTGAAAGAAGACATCTTTTTTTTCAATTTTTAAAATTTATGCTATAGGGCATGTGCACTCACTAGTGAGAGACACAGAGAAAGAGAAAGTGAGAAAGCGCACCCCAGGGGAGTTGGCTACACTTCAATACTTTCTCTTCCATTTTCCTCTTGGGATTTTGGGCATACACACACACACACACACACACACACACACACACACACACTGTTTTTACCAGGCACAGGGTCCTGCATTTGGACCGCACAGCCCTATGGGATCCAGCCACTTTAATCACCAGGACACCAGTTGGGCCTAAAAGAAGACATTAAAAAAAAAAAACAATTACACAAACATTATGCCTAAGGGTAAAATATTGAAAACATTCTCTTTAAGATCAGAAATAATATAAAGATGTTCATTAACACTGCTTTTATTCAGCATTTTGCTCTAGGTCCTAGTCAATGCAGCAGGATAAGAAAATAAAATATGTAATACTAAGAAGAATCAAAACTGTCATTATTTGAAGATGACATGATTGTCATAGAGAAACCATTTAATCTACAGATGAATCACTAAAATTAACAAGAGATTTAAAAAATTTTACTGGGTACCAAAATCCACATATGAAAGTGATATAATCCACATATAAAAGTAATATATATTTCTTAACTTGGCAACAACCAATTTGAGAAAGTAAGTTTAAGAAAAACATTTTTTTAGGCCCAGCCATGGTAGTATAAACTGGTTGATGCTGCTACTAGGCAGGTTGAGGTCATATGGTTCAAATTTTGATCCACCCTAAAAGCCAGGTGTGGTAGCATGCACCCATTGTCCTAGCTACTTGGGAGATTAAAGCAGAAGGATCATGACAAAGCGAGACCTACGTTTTATATTTATATATAGAGAAGGGGGCAGAGAGAATGCTGAGGAATAAATCTATCAAAAATAAATAACCTTTATGGACAAAAATAAAACTTTAGTAAAAGACATTAATAATACTTAAATAATGGGGGTTACATATGCTGCTCCTGGGTAAGAAGACTCAATAGAGTCAAACAACCACAAGCTGATCTATATAATAAATATAATTTCCAACAGCCTTCTTCATGAGATATAGTAAGATACTTCTAATATCTATATGAAAAAAGTGAAAAAAGTTTTTAAAGAAACAATAAAATAGCTAGAATAAACAGAAAGCAAATAGCAAGTTGGTAGACTGAAATCTAACCATGTCAATGTTCATATTAAATGTAAATGATCTAAATACTGGAATTAAAAGGCAGAGGAAGCAGATTGTATATAAAAGTAAGATTCTGGCCCAGCCATGGTGGTGCAGGTGTAAGGTGCTCCTGCAGGACAAAGGAGCCATATAATAAGGCCCAAGGTTTGACTCCTGGGTCAATCTGAACATGACAGACACACCTGTGCCTATGATCCTGGCTTTCTAAAAGCCTAGGAGTTGGGGCAATAGAGTATGGCAAAAACCTTGTCAGAGATCCCTGTCTTTCACTGCCCTCTCAATAAATAAACTATAAAAAAGATAAGATCCAACAACAGAGGATACTCAGATTTATGATGGAGTTAAATCCTGATATTCCCATCATAAAATGAAAGTATCCTGAGTGAAAAACACATTTAATACACCTAGACTATTGAACATCTTACTAGCTTAGCCTATATATCACTGAATGCATACTGCTCTCATATCATTGCAAGGTCAAGCCATTGCAGTAAGAACTGTGTGTATATCACGCTTTCAAAAACCCACTTTAAATATAAAGATATAAATATATTAAAAGTTAAAGTCTACAAAATGAGATACTATATGAACATAAAGCAAAGGAGAGATGAGTGGCCTGAAAATTCTCAGGGCAGTAAGTTCAGGCAACTGTAGGACTCTTGTCATTTGTTTTCTGTCTCTCCTAGATCACTATCCTTCCTGCCTGATGTTGTGTCTTGAAAACTATTGTTCCAAGTGTTTTATCTGCTTTGGGACTGTTTCAGGTGGGAGGGTATATCTGATAGCTGTGACTCCATCTTAGCCAGAAGTAGAGGCCTCTGCCATATTCTTAAAATCCTGTTTGTTTCTTCAAGAATCCTAGGAGATCACCCACACAAGAGAATACGATGGGAGTGCAAGAAGCGCACATATACGTGAAGACCGTATCAGGAAGTGAGGAACCCATGCGTGATACTTACCGTCCTCCTGAAGAAATGGAGAGAAGGAGGGGATTGTGGTGGCTTGTGCCCAGACTGAGCCTGGAATGATGTGCCTCAGTCAAGGAACAGGCGGACCTTGAGCTGGAACAGAGCTGAAGACCCAGGGATTTGTGCTTGATTTGTGCTTGGAGTGAGGAGAAATGCCAAGCTGCTTCTTAGCCAATCAGAATTGCATGTGCAGCTCTGGAAAGCTTTTGGATTGGTTTGTCTCTTTAGGGAGCAGATCCAATAGGCTCATTCCAACACTCTGATTCTGTGGCTTAATAAGCAGTGGAGCAGCAGGTGGGGTCACGTGCATCTAGGAGTCCTTAGGTCCTATTCTTGACCCCAGTAGAATTGTTTTTCTTTGGGTTGGGGGAATGGGTCCAGTTTCCGAGTGTCCTGCCTTTTCATCATTTTTTTTCATATCCCTTTTCTCAAAAATGCCATTTGACCTGACTTGCACAGGAGTGTTGGCCAAGGTCAGCTCGGTATAAATGAAACTTACAGGGTTTGTGAAGGAAGATTTTCCTTATTTCAGAATATCTCAGGGCAGAAATCACATGGAGTCACACATTCCCCACCCACCAGACAGCACATGGCTGGACCATGTGGTAGCAGGAGACAGGAACTTCTCTGTCAGACCCACCACTGAGAGACCCTATCATTCTTTGCTTTTGTAAAAGAGGGGATAATATTACTTGCCTCAGGTGATGGTTGAAAAGATTAGCTGGGAACTATTAGGAGGCCCTAGATGTTGGTTCTGTCTCCCGACTCCCTCTCCTACTTTCTCGTACTGCGTGTTTGATCTAGTCGTGTGTGACCTCATCACTGCCAGTCATGAGGTCACCAAGAGAGCATTTGTGGCAAACTTTCCCCATGGCCTGCAAATCGCTTATATCGAAAGGTGATTCTTGGTGTCACTAACAGTCTGTAAAACTTCCAAGATGTGAGCCTTCTATGCGAGCCAGGAAAACCCAGGTTTTCACCAGTTCCAGATCCTAAGTTTAGAGACCCGTAGTATTATAGCTAACCTTTAAGATGTTGAGGTTGATGGAGATCATGTTTCATATTAAAATGGCATTTCTTACAATAAGCATTTTGCTTAATTTTTAAAGTAAGGCAATATGATATGTCTGATGGCGGTTCCTCAAACATCTTCAACCTTTGGCCTTATGGGTAGTTGCTAAAGATACGGCTTCTTTTATTTAAAATAAATAAATAAATAAATAAAGTCTTCAGCGTGAACAAGCTCTTAAGCCCATACACAGAGTCGGCCTTTCAGCTTGCTGAGAACTCTCTCCAGGGAGGCTTAGAAAGGAAGTTTCTAGATGTGGATTGAGCCCCTTGACCATTTTGCACAAATACCAGCCAGTTTTCCGTTTTGTGTGATTTGCTCAAGGAGAGACGGCCTCTGGGCATTCTCTTGTCCCAGCAGTTCCTTGTCCCACTGTTCCAAGCTCCCTGCCCTCCCCCTCCCTTTTGCTGTGCCCTCCTCTTTCCTTCAACACCAATTTCATTTTCTGGGTCACTCTGGGCAAGGTGCTTCCTAGCCTGCATCAGCTCTCCCGCCACCCGCCTGTCCTTGGAGACACTTCGTCCGTCACTCCCACTTGTGTCTGTGATCAGAGGGCATGCAAGGAAGGCTATTTGCAATGGGCTGTGGTGTGCGTGTGCACGCATGCATGCATGCGTGCATGTGCATGTGCATGTTATGGGAGGGAAGGCAAGAGGTACTCTTAGAGGTTATTAGAAGCGAGGTCTCCATTTGTGGAGTGGAGAACAAACCCCAGTACTTCAACGATCATGAAAATATTGACTGGAAGAGAGACCAGGAGGACCCATGTGGATAAACACAGGGTCACAGTGCTGGGCCGCTGGCGATATGCTGCCATCTAGGAGACCCAAGAATGACGTAGCATCAGAGGCCAGGCTGTCACGGTCACTCCCTGAGGAGGCTGCCAGGTGGCCTCTTTCTCCTGTGCATGGCCATCGCCCGAGCAGGCCAGGCCTCCAGGTGGGAAAGCCTGGGTCTGGGGCATCTCAGGGGCCATTCCGCCCTGATACCCTGGAAAACAGCCGTTTCTCATACAGGGCTCTGATTCCTCAGAAATGTGTCCCTCTTCCCTGAATAACAGATGAGTTCTATAAACCCAACTGCTGCAATGCCAGTACCTGAAGTTCAAAGTCCCTTGTGAAATTGAGTTTTGTGCTAAGTCTCCTGGGTCTGGTCACTTTGGCAAGGAGATTTGGCCGTTTTTAAGCAAATGTGTCCAGTGACCCTGGGCCTTGTCTTTTTCTACAGGCCAAGAAGGACTTTGGACTTACTGAGAGCCCAGCCATGGCCTTTGTTTTTATACTTGTGTCAGTCCTGGGGCAGATTGCTGTTAATTTGGAGCTTGAGTTCTGTACTTTAACAATGGAGATAGCAATTGTCCCTTACCCCCCAGGGACACTGTGAAGCTGGATCGAGATGTGCATGAGAATGAGACTTGCAGCTTACGAAGTCAGGTGTACCTCGCATTCCGGATCATTCATGTTAACCTACTTACAACCCACTGTGTAGACTCTTCATTTAGAATGGTTTCCACTAAACGAGCAAGCTTCAGTGTTTCTGTCACTTACTTGTGCTATGATGCACGAGAACTTATGTTGGAATAAAGTGAGAAGTAAACGGCCATCCTTGTGAGCCTATGAAATGTCTGTGGCTTTTCTTTGCCTATACTAAACTACTGGGTTTGGGCCCTGGGCTTGGAACCAAGATTCTCCCAGGGACCTTCCTGGGCCTAGCACGTCCTCAGCCAGGCTGCTGATGGGAGATGCTCAGCCCTTCGCAGTGGACAGGAGGGTGGGAGCAGCCCACCGCTGAAAGGAAGAGGCCGGGGTCAGAAACTGAAGCTCCAGTTCCCCATCCCAGGGCTGGCACTGAGTCGATGGTGGTCTTGGGCAGTTCACACCAGGCGTTTGGGTCTCATTTCTTCATGTATTGGCGTTCGGGTTGGTTCGTCTCCAAAGTTTCATCCACCCAGTTCAAATATTCTGATTTTGATTTTCCTAGGACTTTCTAAGTGAAGGCCCCCTTCCACCTCCCTACTCTCCATTCCCATCAGCACAGCCTTCTGTACCCTCTTTGGAGAGAAATACGTATTTCTCCAGTGTGTGACCAAGAAATATGTGGTTTTTCTTATGACATCTATTTCTGCAATATTATAATACAAATTAAAGAACAAAAAAGGGATAACGATGAATTTTTAAAAGATTGCCAATTCTTACAATCTTTGCATTCCCAATATCCTTGTTAAAATGATTTTTTAATGCATGAATTGACTTAACAAACGTGCCCTGGCTCCTTTCCTGTATCGGACAATCTACCAGGGCCTAACACAGCATTGGAGATGTAGGGGAAAGCCAAGGCAATTAGGCTTCACAGAGCATGTCTCTCCACCCAAGTGAATATGAATCTTCTATCCACTTAAAATAATATCGAGTAAGTTGTCATAGAGGTCCTTTGTCTCTCGACTGAAACATAAAGCAGTCTCTCTCGTGGACTCAGATGAGAGTAGAATCTACATTCTCTTTCTTTTTCTTGGCTGCAGTCTGAGGAGAAGGGGAGATGGGTATGACCCTTCCAGCTACTGGGTACTCCAAGCGGCTAAAGAAAAGTCTGGTTATGCTGGGACATACCTTAGGTGCTGTGCTTCTGCGTATGACTTCCAAAAAGGGCTCCGTTTCTTTTATCCTGTAGAGAGACTCCCTGGACTCCAGCAAGCTAAGAACTGTAAAAACTGGGGCCTAGCAGACAGCGTAATGCTTATGTTGCTGCACTCACACATAGTTATCTACAGTTTGAGTCCTGGACCCGGTGGCTTAAGACTCATGCCGAGTACATGTGCGTGCGCGTGCATGCCGGAGATGCCGAGAGGAGAATGGAGGAGAAGGGATTACGGTGTGGACATCCCCCCGGGGGATGATTTTTTACTTTCTGTCTTTCAGCCTCTCTGGTGAGCATATACACCTTATAGCAAAAATCTCTCTAACAAAAAAAAAAAGTATAAACATTGGACAGGTGAGAACTTGGAAACATTTTATAAGATGGCTGAGTTGGTTCAATATTTTTTCTCTCTCTCTCTCTCTCTTTTTTAGTTTAGGTGCATGTGCTTTCCAGAGAGAGACAGAGAGACATAGTGAAAGAGAAAATGGGAAATCACCCCTCTTCCTACCCAGGGGGATGCCACACCACAATCCCTTCTCCTCTATTCTCCTCTCTGGATTTTGGGCACACACACACACACATGTGCTCAGCAAGATTTTCAAGCCTCCAGATCCAGGACTCAAACCGCAGTCTGCTTTGTGAGAGTCCAATGCCTTAACTCCCATGCCACCTTCTGACCTTGTGCAATAGTCATTAAAAAGAATTTGAAAACTGATGAGGGCCTTTGAAGGCTGAGTGTGACTAGGGCTTAAAAAATTATTATAATGGGTTTAGTAGATGACATTGTGGTCATGTCACTGGACTCCCACGTAGCCAACCATAGTTTGAGTCCCGGACCCAGTGACAGTGCACTCCAGGCACATGTGCGTGTGTGCCCAAAATCTCAGGATGAGAATGGAGGAGAAGGGAGTGTGGCATGGCCATCCTCCCCTGAGGGGTGATTTCTCACTTCCCCTCTCTCTGTCTCTATCTCTCTGGCAAGTGCAGATACCCTATAGCAACAACTTCTAAAAAAAGATGATTATGAAGATAGAGAATTTCTCAGAGTTACATTTGTAGAGCTAACCATGTTGAAAGTAAGTGAGAGCAAACCATGTTGAAGTAATTCTATCATAAATATGACCAATTTCATGATGAGGAGTCAGAGGGGTCATTGCTAGATCACCTGGTCAGGGATTGTCTACTGATGAAGATTTAAGTCTTTGCCCTAAGAGTAGGCAGTCTTGTTTCCCTCTTCTTCTAGTTCCTCTGTTCTAGCCGTGTGGGCCTCCTCCCTGCCTCTCCAGGAGCACAGGCTTTCTCTCTGCTCCTCAGACACCTGATCCTCCACGTGCAGGGGCTTCTTCTGCTTATTTAACGTCATGGCCCTTCCTACAATATGGGACCTCTCTCTGCCTTTCACGAACCATGATCCTTCCACCACATGAGCCCTTTGCTCACATTGTTGAGGGAACAGAGCTGGAAATCCAAGGTAAATAGAGCTAGAAGGCTTTGGTAGATAGGATTTTCAAGGGAGAGTCCTGGAGAGGGGAGAACTGCACAGACAGAACTCAGAGATCTGCAGAGGATACCTCTTGAGTATTATATTGTCTACTTACCAGCACACGTACATGAGGAACTATCTAAGACTGCAAAAAAGAACCACTCAAGGGACCAGCAGTTGGTGTAATGGCTATGTCACTGGACTCCCATGTAGTCAACCACAGTTCGAGTCCTGGACCTGGTGGCTTAAACTCACACCAGGCACATGTGCATGTGTACCCAAGATCCTGAAAG